CTGTTTGAATATCTGGGCTACCTCTTCCTAGCATCTGGATATTTCAACAAGTTATCTGTTTTCTTTTTTGTTTTAACACATTATTGTGCCTATTAGTCTCATAACCTATTCACATGCGTTTGTGTAAAGTTTATAACATTTCACTGTACAAAATACAAAAGAACCCAGAGACATCATGGTTGCTAACAATATGCATCGAAAAGAATATACATTATTCAGATATTAATTCCTGAACTGCTAACTTCCAACTGGCGACCTTTCAATATTTATCGTCAGAATCAACCAAGAAATAAGAAACGGAAACTTGTTGAAATACTTTGTGCTGAGAATTCTGTTGTACTAAAAATAAAATATCGAATAAAGCCTCTAATAATAATAATAAACTATGGATTTAGTTATATAAAACAGCGAATTTGACTCAATAATTTCAGCAACTTAAATATTTCTATTCAAATGCTAAATGTATTAAATTTCTAGAAAATCATATTGAAATACAAGCAGATTGATCGTTCTTTATTCAACTAATTATATTGATCCGTCTCCAAAATTACTTTGATGACTATTATTCCTTCCCATTTAAACGCCTTCTAAACAAACATCACTATATTTAAATATTAAATAAATAAATTTATTAAAAAAAAACAAAATTGTTATGTAAATTAGATAAAGCATTAATTATTAATTTTATTTCAATACCACGACAGGTCTATTTTGAATGATTATAATCAGAGAAGGGTTATTGTGGATACTATAGTAATTTAATAGTTGAATCTATGCATCAAGTGAAGCTAGACGACCATTGAAAACCAGGAAGCATTAGATGGCCGTTTCGTTCTAGTATGGAACTCCTCACCTGTACGCATCCATGTTCCCGCCTCGCGGGATTCGAACCAAGTGCGAACGCTTAATCAAACTAAAACGAAACGGCCGTTTAGTGCTTTCAAATTTTACATGGTGATCTAGCTTCAACTGACTAATGAATTCAACTATCAAATTATTTTGATTGAACTACTTACTAGATCATTTAATCCTGATAAATAAAATATGTTCGAGTTTTATTATTGAAAAAAATTATGTACTTTAGTAAGATAACCACAGAAGGTTAAACAAAAACACACTTACCTAAATATCATTTCCATACTGTAGCCTATTCTTTAACCAATATAATAAAGCATAAATGGATAGTACAATTTCAATTATTTTTTATTAAAATTAACTGGTTTTTTAAATTCTTTTTCAAAAACAAAATATACTATTTACACTGATTGGAATTATACTCAGAACAATTGAAGTTCTGCTTCAAAGTAAACCTTAGAACAAACATTTTCATATTGTTTAACATTTGGATCTTATAAAAATTAACTTAATTATTTGAGAAAATGGGATTAACAACCTTTTCTAGGAAGTTTTCATCTTGAAACAGTTCATTAATATATCGGATTTAGATACTCAAATGTTTACATGAACTGTCAGGATACAATATTCAGACTGTTAATTTTTATTACAGAAAATGAATTATAAAATAAGTATGAGAAGGGGCTTTGTGGAGATTTCGGTAAGTTCAATAGGTGAAATCATGGGTTAATTGAAGCTAGACCACCATGGAAAACCTGGAAGCAATGGACGGCCGTTTCGTCCTAGTATGGGACTCTTCAGTAGTGCGCATTCACGATCCCGCCCCCACCCCGCGAGATTTGAGCGCCTAACCATTAGACCACTGAGCCAGCATCGAACGGTGTTATTATCCAACTCCAACTGCTGAGGAGTCCCATACTAGGACGAAACGGCCATCCAGTGCTTCCATATTTTCCATGGTGGTCTAGCTTCAATTCACTCATGATTCCAACTACTGAAATAAAAATAAGTGTCAAATTAGTCACGTACGTGAAATTCTTTTTAACAAATTTTTAAACACTAAATTTTAAGATTGAAAAACGTGTAACTTTATCCAGAATAGAGTTGAACTTGAGAAACTTCACTAAAATGAGTAATTTTGTTTAGAAGTTCAAATTCTTAAGTGAAAAGAAGTGGATAAATATGACCGATTCGAAGTAACCATTAAAGTTCACTTACACATCTTTCTTATTGTCATGGCGATTGTTCAGATGTGGATAATATGAAGTCTGGAAAAGTTCTCCAAAGCAATTATCTATAATGCTAAAACATCTTGGTTGTTTGGATCTTCTCATCAATGTTTAAGACTTCACTCGATCAGTCTCTTTTAGCAAATATATTTAGCTAATAAGTTTTGAATAAGACGGAATACGAATACTCGGTTTCATTACTCACCAACATCCACCTCTACTTACAATGCGTACAAATTTGGTCGCCTTTAGAAAAGTCTTGAATTTGGCTTTACTTTCATATTCGTTTTTGAGGCCTAATAAAATTCAGAAAATATGAATGTTTGAAATAGACCATTTGTTTTACTATTGGACAAATACATCAAAATCATACACTTTCCCAGATTTATTTCCTAATATTTTAATGTTTTATCTCAATACATATGACACAAGTATTGATTATACATTTGGTAATCTGAGTTTGATTTTCATTCAATTTCATACCAATATGTAAACAACTTTTGTGTTTGTTACTGTGTCTGTTATTTTTCAAACTGATTTTTGTTTTTATGGTTAGTTTTTTTTTATTTAAATGCAAAACAAAAACCTATTGAAAATAGTTTGACCTTCAAATATGACATCAAAACAATGTAAATTTAAAGAGGCCATTAACGTAAATAAACAACTGTAGGTGTTACTTTCATGTCTTTTTTTCCTAAAGACATTAGTGTCACACATATGTTGTTTAGTAGATTGTAGAGATCTTGAAATGAAAAAAAAAATATGCATTATGAAAATTAAGTATATTTTATCAATAATTATTGCTTCAGTCAGACAAAATTTTCAAAGTACTTAATACCCTAACTAAAATAAATCGTGCAAGACTTAATTGCATCTTTGATTTCGTCCAAACATTGTAGACTTTTCATTAAACTTAAATTCTGTATTTATATATGCCCCATTTGTGTTTATATTATTTCAGAGATAATATAGATTCAAAACCGAACATGTAGTGAGGATGTGGTTTACCGAACTCCTAGAAGAAATAGTCATTACAATGACTATTATTATTAGAAGTAAAAGAAAAACTAAACTAGAATGTATATCGAAAGATTGGAAGTCTGCCTTGGTCATTCTATACCGTAGTGAAACATCGGAATAAATTAAGAGGCTTCTAAACAAGTATGATATAAGTGTATTTTCGGGCTTGTGACACCATAAGGTCGGCATTAGTGAAGGTTAAGGATGGATTTTCAAAGGAAGAACAATAGAATATGATACCAACTGTCATCATTGTAATGCAGATTATATGGGAGAAACTTTAATACAATTAAATGTGAGGTTGAAGGAACACAAACAATGTTCGAAAAATGTTTCTAAATTCTCGGTTGATCTAAAGAATTTTGAGAAAACGTCGGTCATAGCGTTACATGCTTTAGAAACAGGACATAAGATCAATTTTGAATGAACCAATATATTTCAGAAACGTTTTGGCACACATAAAGAATGATTGACAGCGAAGCGCAGTATATATGGGCGAATAAGATCAGCCTGAACAGAAGGATGGTATTCAACTAACAACTACTTGGCAAGTATTTATTAGCATGTAATTGAACCCTTTCACTATCTAACGTGTTTATTTCACATACATTGTTATTCTGACTGTAATTAGTGTGGGTTATTTTAGCAATACAATTATGTATTCGATGATTCTCACTTTACATACACATCGATGATTCAGAAACAATTTTTCAACCTTCAACTTGCACTTTTATTTTTCCTTCATATAAAAACAAAATTAACATCTAATACCAATTACTAATAACTCAATCTAACACATACATACACACAATTCGTTCAATCATTTATATTCACATCGTGAACTTTTCACATGATTCGCATTTAACCGACTCATGTTAAAAGACTAATATTTGAACGAAGAATATTCTTTTCGATAAATTCCCTTCCGAAAAATGGCCAGGTTAAGGGCAAAGTTCATCGTTTAAAGCGTGTGAATTTAGGATTTAAAGCAATTAGTCCTCTTGATAAATTTCGATAGTGTAATAAGAAGACGATTATCAGAACTGTATGATATATTAGCACAATACATTTCAAACAATCTTCTCATACATAAACTTGGTAAGAACATTTATATAAAACTTTCACAGGCTGAAATCATGAGTGAATTGAAGCTAGACCGCTAGGGAAAATCTGGAAGCACTGGATGACCGTTTCGTCTTATTGTGGGGCTCCTCAGTAGTGCGCATCCACGATCCCTCACCCTTCGGGATACGAACCCAGGATTTATTGGTTTCGCGCACGAGGACTTAACCAATAGACCACTGACCCGGCATCCGACGGTGTTAATGTCTAACTTCAACCAATCCACGAAATTGCGCCACCATACACCATTGTCTTCAGTGAGTTGATATCTCACAACAGACCTGGTTAAACTCCACTGGTAACGACTTCTCACTAGAACTCCAGGAGTGTCTCCTGAAGTCAGTCACTAGTGAGCAGGTGATTATTATCAGAACAGGTTTTGTGGAAATTTTTAGAAATTTCACAGGTTGAAATCATGAGTGAATTGAAGCTAGACCACCATGGAAAACCTGGAAGCATTGGATGGCCGTTTCGTCCTAGTATGGGACTTCTCAGCAGTGCGCATCCACGATATATAAAATAAAAAGTCAACTAGACTAGAAATGAACGGTAAGAGGAGACAAGAATAATAAAGAAAAAAATGCGAAAACAATATGAAACCCCATCACGTGGTTCAAAGTTTGCAGCATCTGTAGGCATAGTACAAGGTTGTACAAGAACTTTGATTTCACCGACGGCCTGTTCTTTCCAGGCTTTATCGACATGATGGTAGGCACGGCGACGTCGAAGGAAAATACAAAGCTCCTCTTCTTTTCCAGTCTTAATCCCCGAACTATGCAAATTGAACAAGATCAAGCCTTATTGCGTCTTTTTTCTAATCAAAAGTTACCTGTTATTTATCCGTCAGAACTTTATCCATCCATTTTATGCGAAGGTGAAACTATCAAAGACCAAAGCCAATCATCTTCCGATGTGCAGTCAGCAACATTAAATCTTTTAAAGATAAAAACTACCTCGCCTCCTGGAAATATGAAGAATTCCAAATTAGAACAGTTACTTGTTGTCTCAGAAGAAATTGCCCCTAACACAGAAGTCTCCATTGTTCCCAAAACCCCTTCTAAGCCATCGACTGAGAAAAGTGTGAAAGTTGTCAGTAAAAATGAAGCTGTTCCATCATCATTATCTACACCTCTTTCTCCTAATAATCCTACTTCTATCATTAGTAGTAAACCATCAAATATAGCTTTTAATTTGACAAGTAATCAAATTGCGATAGGTTCAACTGTATCATCATTAGTAAATTCTGCATCAGTTTCAAATGTCAAAGAAGATGATCCAAACACCACTACGTTCCAACAATCTTTCTCACTAGGGATGAACCCAATTCAGTAGCCCTTATTCACTTAACCAAATATCACGTCAGCTTTCACTGTATCTTTAACTGCCAATGATAGTGGTAATCTATTCGTAAAATCTACTTTATTTAAACCGCAAACACCATCATCATTGCTGATCGTGAGTACATCTAGTGGCGGTGCTTCTATAGCTCAATCGTCTACACCATGTGACCTAAACAGTTCTAAAGTCACTAATCTAGTTTTCCAAATTACTGAACCTACTATCACTACGACTAATAATTCTATTATAACATCTGTCACAACAATCAATGAAACAAGTTTCATCGCATCTAATCCAGTTATTCATACTAACAGTTCATTGTTTAATCCTTTAGTTATTCCTAAACCTATTGTCACCAATCCATCGAATGATTTCAATAATGCTTCACCATGTGAAGAAACAGATGAAATTTAGAAAGAAAATCTTGTTCCAAACATCTCTTCAGTTAACTTGTCTCAAACTACTACTGTTTCTTCTAAATCACCTGGACTATCATCACTTTTACCAACTCCAGTATGTGGTAGTTCAGGTATAATGTTTGGGTCTGGACAAAGTCAAGTTATCAGTACTGCCACTACCAATACTGCGATAAGTTCTTCATTAAGTTCTCTTTACACTGGTATACCACTGAACACTACAAGTACAATAATTACAAATTCAAATACTACAACAAAGTCCAATGTTACATTCAACAGTAGACCATTATTCGTTGCACCAAATTTGGTTACAGCCACTACTGTTGTTTCATCAACCTGCAGCACTGGTACAAATATCTTTTTGTTTGGCGATGCAAATCAGTTGTCTTTCTTCGATTAATACGGAATATGTAACCACCGTTTCACATGCGAATACTGTGATTTGTCTCACTAGAGTTCCTATTTCGAAAAGTGAGGCTTTCAAAAAAACACCGACTAAATCCGTCTCTTCAGTTTTCGGTGGTCTTTTTGCAGAAGCGGCAACCGTCAATTCTCAACAGATTACATTTAATTCAGCTAATTGGGGTGCTGGCCTCTTAGGCTCACCTATGGGATCCGATACACAACCTACAAACAATTTATTCTCTGTGTCAAGCTGAAGTCTTGGTGGGAATTCAACACCTCTAAATTCTGCACAAAGTGCTTTTGGCAAAGCATTTAGTAATACAGCTTTTGCAAATCAAGATACCTCTACTTTATTTCGCTCACCTAATTCAAGTACCCAGAATAACATTATTTCTGGAGCGAGTCCATCATTGTCAAATCCTCAATCTGGTCTTTTCAGCAGTTCAATTTTAGGTTCATCTTTGTTTGGCTCTCCTACAGCTGACATGTCTTGTACTCAGTTCCGGATTCGTTTAACTGACCATAAAATCCAAACCATTGTCACTTATTTCCTGTCACCTTTTGTGTGAAAAGAATATGTGTGGTTTCGTTTAGATCAGTAAGTTTTTAATCAAAAAATAAAACGTTATATTTTCGATAGCTTTGAAAGATAAAACGTGACCAAACACCTCATAACAATCAATACAAACATAAATTGATGAGGAATTTTATTTTCGTGTACTATAATGTCAGTTATCTCCCCTTTTCAGAGACAAACATTGTTTAATGGTCTCACTGGTAAAAAGTTAATCTAATCTCATCAAGGATGAAAAGTCACATTTCTAAACTTAATTATCTGCAAAGTGAATTATTATTATTATTGCTACACTAGTTGTATAAGGTTCATTCATAGCAATTTTTCAGGTACTCTGCTGTACTTAATCGTAAGATCAGTTTACCAATTATATTTTAACCAGTTAGTATTTCATTATTAATTTTCACCCACATTTACTTTATTCTATAACATAGTATCTAAATGTAAAATGATAACTATAATCCTAATTCAGTTTCAAGAGCTGAGGATTAAACAGTAATATAATGACTTGCATAAAATCCATGTAATAAACTAAGCTATTCTGATTTAGATGGTTGTTGGAGGTAGTCAACAGGAAACCCTGGACCCGGGTTTTGTGCTACTTAGCACTCGTCAGTAAGGTGTACCTGTAATCTTGAGGGAACTGGTGCTCCCTGGCGGATTCGTTCTCATGTCACCCAGCTTCACAGTCAGAGACATTACCACTGAGCTATCCGAGCCGTGACTAACCTTCTGTAGGACTGAGATGTAATCACAATTGATTAATCACTGGGTGGTGATCAATGTCATACTTGTCTAGTCCTTATTATTGCAGGGTTTCCTGTTGACTACCTCCAACCACCATCTAAATCTCAATACATTGTGCCCGCAATGTCGAGTCACCTAGACTGGTGGCCACATTGTAACATGATCGATAGCATTCGATCTGCACTAATAAGGACTAGACAAGCATGACATTGATCACCACCCAGTGATCAATCAATTGTGACTAAGCTATTCTTCTATTTATGTGAAATGCGAAGGATGATTTATGAAATATTTAACAGGTATTATGGTTACTATCTAATTCAAAATCAATGATTATTTTACCATGATAATGATTTACATGAAAGCTTAGTTATATACACTTGAAAAATTGAGAGTAATTTTCAATTGTACATTAGTCTTGACTTAAGTGTAACATAAATCTAGTAAACATTAAGTTTATTTTATAATGTTTTTTTGTTACGGCTAATATTAACTCTATAAATAAGTGTTGACCGAATTAAAACTTCAAATTTTAAAAATCCTTTAGTTTTAGTGCAAATCCATGTTCTTCACATGTGATCTTTTCTCTTTTAATAAAACAGTATTTAGAGCAATAAACTCTTTACACTAGATACTATTTATTCATCCAACAACTAAGGTCATTGTGATAAAATTTAGGTTAATAATCAGGCTACAATTAAAAAAAAAGAAGAGATTTAACTCATATCGACAAGAAAATTATGTGAATGCCAATTAACCTCATTTTGGGATTTAGTTTATTATTTGGGTTTATTACCAATTCTATTGTATTAAAATGTGAATAGTATCATTAAGGTTATGAAATAAATGTTTCAATTAAAAATGCTTTGATGATGAGTAGAAATTTAATATAATTTTTCATAAAACGTTCATCCTGTTTCGTGTTATACCTTTTGATCATAGGCAGTATTGTTTAATCGTGCAACAATATATTACTTTGGAAGTGGTTTGAAAGTAGTGTATAGATAAAAAGCAAAACAATACAAAACAAAAATTTTCTTATCAAATTAAGGGTATCCATAGGAAGTTTAAAAATGGAGCAAAACATAGTCATCAGTAACAATATACTACGAAAGAAATAACTGCAGGGATTGTCATTACACTATACTACACTGAATAAGTAATCATGTTTGAGACAATGGTTTTATTGTCCTACTAACAAAGGATTCAGTGATTGTCTGGAAATACGTAACTCAAATGAAGATACACAATGACCTGCCTGATGCGAACTTTAGAAGGAAGTGTCATTTATTCTTCTTTAATGATTTAAAGGTAACATTAGACATTTATAATATTTCCTATCACAAACGTAAGAAAATATTAAAAGCTCCAAAATGTATGATCACATGTACACTTGAAGATAACTAACTTTCATTAAAAAATGATATCAAAAGGAATACAGTAATAAAAGCTATGTTAAATGACGACAACATACAATATAGAATAAGGTTGGTCATAATGAATCTTTTTGATGCAGCTTATTAAATCCAAGGTCCATTAAAAGTATCATGAAAGTCATAGCCTGTTGTATGCCCTGATGATATTCTCGTGACTTCCAGTTTTCCTGATCTGCGAAGGGCAATGGGACGGTCCTCGACGCTATTGTTGTGTGCTAGGTTCAAAGAGAGTTGTATGCTGTATACATACAATCCGCCCCGTTATTGTTCCTATTTCTAATACGAAAGTCATTAATAAAGCATATATATATTATTATTTGCAGTCCTGATCTTTAACAATCGAAAATGACAGAACTTTACTTATGTACATGTTAAACACTCTAATGATTGGGTTAACTCAGTCACTCAAGGAATAATATGTTGATTGTGGTGAAAGGTATTGCATCCTAGTCACAGTGTAAACTTTAATGCAGCGACGTAATTATTATTCAGGTTTAGTGGGGCCATACATTTAGACGTCGATTAGGTCGGACAATGTCGTTGGTAGGCTCACGAATTTAAGGCTCAATATCAGACTCCAGTTATATCGTATGAATGATTGCTATCGAAATATATAAATTATATATATCGCCATTCCTTGTATATAATTATCGACTTAAATCGCGTTAGTGAATAACGGAATTAAATAAGTCAAATGCAAGAATGGATTTTCGAATACATATATTTTGTACACTCATTGGTCTGGACAGACAATCAGAGGAACGAATCGAAGAGAAGTGAGCGAAACGAAATGACGCACGGTGGAGAAGAAGTGTGAGCCAACACCATTTAATTAAGAGTGAATCAATATTTGTAGTCACACAAAAATAAGCTACACATATGTGATGGTAGGATAGGATATACACACATACGCTCATATGAAAACAGTCATGGTCGATAGGCGAATAATTAACAAGGTCGAAATGTGACTCAGAAAGAATGAATAGAATGGTCTGTCCAGATGCTCGAATAACTTATACGTGCTTAACATAGTAACCGACACTACACCGATATAAAGTCCGTAATAGGACGAAATGAGCGTTCTAGTTTCCACTGCTAACCTCAAATCAAATATTATTAGTATTTCTTCATATTTATATGGATTAAAACGAAATGTTACACTAGTGAATTCAAACCTATTGGAATGTTATTCAATTAGATAATTTGTGAAGATAAGTTTATTTGAAAAAAAAATTGTCTCGAAATGAAATGATGCCATAGTAAAAATCAAATAAAATTAGAATATTATCAGAAGTTAGTTATGTGGAGATTTTAGTAATTCTAAAGTTGAATTCATTAATCAATTGAAGCTAGACAACCATGAAAAACCTGGCAACACTGGACGGTCGTTTCATCTTATTATGCTTAATCGTTCGTGTACGAGACCGATAGGTTCTAGGTTCGAATCTTGGAGGGCGTGATCGTGTATATACACTCCTGATGAGTCCCATACGATGACCTAAATGTCTGTCTAGTGCTTCCAGGTTTCCCATTGTTGGCTAGCTTCAATTGACTCATGAATTCAACTATAAAACTAAAATATATTTTGAAAGACACATTTCTATATGTTTTGTATTTACTTATCAAAATATTTAAACATTGATTTTACACATCATTTCTGTTTTGATAGAACAATTCTTTTTCATCAATATACCAAAAGAGATTTATTTTAGTGAATAAGATGGTTATGAAATGAAATTACATTAAGAAAAGCATTTATGTTTGTTTGTATTTAGGGGTAATTGTTTTTAATGTATATTCATAAGCCTAAGAGTACAATCATAATATCAGTAAATTGGTTTAAAATGATCTAAATATTACTTTATTATGATATATATACTCATAAATAGAAGTTTACTGAAATCAATTTTTTTTTCTTTAGTTGAGGTCATTCAAAAAATGTTATTAGTTAAAAGTTTATCTTTTCATCTTCTTTAGAATATTCGTTCAATAATACAAAGAACCTGATACGATGTTATAACTCTTGAGAGGGTTTTAAACGTTTTTATTCAATTAGTTCATTTTACTATGGATATCAAAATTTAGCTTACCAAGTTATTATTAGGAAATTCAAAATGATATTCTACCCATGTACTCATGTTTTACAAGTCATTGATAGTTACTTACTTACTTACTTACGCCTGTTACTCCCAATGGAGCATAGGCCGCTGACCAGCATTCTCCAACCCACTCTATCCT